TTTTCCTTGCAGAGAGAGGCCGTCTATCTTCTCCAGGCTAGTAGATAGACGGCTGCTGGGGATTGTACTGTCCCTTGTGATCTTGTACTGGATAGGAAGTTAAAGGAAACAGAGATGAGAGAGTTAAAGAAATGCTTTGGGCAAAAAGTTTGAGTCCAGTATTACTTTAAATATTTTTTACATTTGATCCTACTGTAAATTTAAAAGTATTTTTAAAAAGCAGATTTTAAAAGTAATTTTTCCTGACCAAAATACATAGGTTTGATGGACAAAATCCCATTTCATCAACTGGTTAAGAAAAGACCTGTTTCCTACAATGGAAAATATAATAGTGGTACAAATAGAAGTACAATTCTCAAAGTAAAGCTTTCATAAACCTAGAAAATTCAAACAAAATACATCAGAAATAGGCATCTGAAATGATATTAACATATTAACTCTTCTTGTAAGAGCAGAAGTTGGTCCTGTCCCTATCTGCCATTTAAATCTCCATTGGTCCTGTGATCCTGTGATGGGTGGCCTTGTCGACTGATAAGAAAGATTGGCACGTGGGGGGAATTTGACTTCTACAAGAAATGAGCGATTTTCACATTACTTCTGCCAAAATTTGTTGAACCATTGATGTGGCTCAGGTTTGGGAAACCTTGCTGCACTTTATATCCTTGATTGAATACTTAAAGTCGTGCTTCTCTGCATTAAGGGCTTGTTCACACCATGTCCAGACCCGAACAGTTTGTTTTTTCACGGACCAAAAAATCATCCCAATCCCTATGGTATTTCTGGGCTCTGTTCACACCAGAGCAGTCCATTCCGGACCAGACAAAAAAAATACTGCTGGTCTCACTTTCTCTGGTCTGGAATACACTGGAATTCATGCAAATTCACTGGGCCTCACCTGAAAGCCTATTGTAAGCTAAAAAAATGCAATAAAAAACACCCTGCTCTGGAACGCTGCAAAATCGCGGTAAAAACTCGGCAATATGCAATACACTGTGTTCCAGATCTGGTCCGGAAAATGGTGTGAACCTGGCCTAACGTAAAAAATAGATATGTGCAAATTATAAAAATTAGCTTAAGACTAAATGATCAAAAAAAAAAAACATTTTCATTCGTTTCTAAACAAATTTTTATGCTATTTCAGATTCGGAGGCAACGAACCACACATGTAAAGAAAAGAATGTTGGCGGCCATATCGTTCTGTGCATGTACGCCGTCATCCCGGAGGTGGGGCACATGACATCATATGGCAAAACTCTGTTGGGCGCCGCCATCTTGGTGTAGATGTTGGTATACACCAAGATGGCGGTGCCCATACTGTCATGTGACGTCATTCTCCCACCCTCCAAGATGATGACACGCATGCGCAAAAGGCGCCGGTGGCCAATATGGCAACTGAGCGTTCTGTTAATTAATTATTATGTGCCTGAATATGTTTTTCGTATATTTGGGCATATAATAATTGTTCATTCGGACGAACTGACGAATCAATGAAATTTAGTTGATTTGCAAGTTCATTCGAAATGCACAAGTCTAGTAAAAAAACTCTTCAGTACCGTTGCATGCCTCCCACCTCCAAACACATACCTTTGGTCCGAGTCCACTGCCGCCGGATCCAAGATATCTGCAATGCTTCCCTGAAGCTTTGGGTTGTAGAGGTGGGATCTCGAGGGCACAGAAGACAGGGCAGCAATAGACTGCTGCAGCTGCCTGTCAAACTATTGTGAGGAGGGAAAAGGTGGGAGCAGAAGTGTGGCATGCCAAGCGCTGTGTGTGTCAGTAGACCCACACATCTTAGCTCAGTTCCTGGCTGGGACCAGGCACTAATGCACTAATGGCTGTCTCCTTTGCAATCTGCTAGGCAAAGGAGACACTGGTAGATAGGATGGGAGAGCGGCGGTCTAAAACGTGTAAAAAATAAAATAAAATGGCGCAATAAAAAAAAACAACTCATTAAATAAAAATTTGTCTACTGTGCTAAATATATAAAAAAAGAAACAAAGGGTTTAACTGGTTAGGGTGATGGCTTCTACTTTTGCAGTAACCTTGAAATTATGCCCTTTATGAACTGTAAGGTGCAAGAACACATCTGAAGCATTAATATACAACTTCCCAAAACGCTGCTTCAGCCCCCTAATTATCCATTGCAAATAGCATGGGAGCTAGTGTAGCACTTAAAATGGGTTTACATTAACGCTGCAGTCAAGCTCATGCACCCTCCTGTACAGCATCAACTATTGGTTGCCAACATTATTTTAAATAAGATCTTTGACATATTCTAGAACAGACTTTAGCATTATTTCTTAAAATGATTGGTAAAATGCAACAAAGGACACATTTTAAATTAACCTCAATGTCCTAGAATCTATACAAAAGGATACAAGCTCTATCTACAGAAATGTTACATTGAGAAAAGCCACAGGATTATTGATTTTCATTTGGACACAGTTCCTCAGCTATTCCTCTGATAATTTAAAGCTGGAAGGAAGCATATAAAAAAAGCTTACAGCTTGCTATAAAATAAATGGAATTCACCTTTAAACCAAAAAAGTAGCTGACAATAAGTGAATGATGTGAATTACAAAAATCGACCACAAGAGCTGTCCTTGAGCGTACTGTATCTGCAAGGTGGTAGTACTAGGAATACAGATTCCTAATAATTCCTGTTTTAGGATTTTTAACACAATATGAAAACACAGAGAGAATGGGGTGCTCCTAAAAACTGTGGAAAGGAATGTGGAGGTGTGCCACAAAACAACACATTAGATGCAAACTGATTTTTTGGTGCTGGTTAAAAAATGTGAACTAACATGTTAGATTGCTTTAGACAACACCTTCACTTTCTGCAAATTCTTATACAATCAAAATCTTTTATGATAAATAATGAAGATGAATGCAATGTACACAACAATATAGTGAATTTAAAGAAGAACTTGGGAATTAATTAAAAAACTTACCCTTGCAGTGGAGCTCGTTTTGTCTAGGGGGCTCAAAAAAAGCAGATATACTCACCTTGATACCACCAGGCTGCAAAACCAGTCCGCACAGCCTCTTCTCCTCCGGGCTACTGTGTTTTTGCCATTAAATAGGCTACATACTTTTGAAATGTACTTTATGGGTAAAACCTGATAGGACATTATTGCATGTGCATCAATTATGTTTACAATGATCAGAGAACTTCCAAAACCAGGAAGCTTCATCATGAAAATATAAGCTACCACCTTGCCCACCCCACGTCGCTTATTGCACTGCTGCTCAGTGAGGCCATTAATCACACTTAAAGTGGAAGTGAAGCCCTCATTTTCTGTAATTGGGTTTATTGGTATTTCAAAAAACAAAACATTACACATTTAACATAGAACATGGTCACATTCAAACCGTAATTTCAGCATGACTCAAGTAACCAGCATATAGCATGTGGCTAATGATAAAAACAGGCATAAAAACAAATAAAAAAATACTGCAATAGCAATACGAATAACAACCATGTGATCTATTCAACAACTGAAATGTAATAGTGGAGAATGTGTATCATGCGAATGCCAGTGGATCGAATAAGGGACAATGAAGTAAAATATGGAAAGATTAACCTGTATAATCTCATGATATACCAGGAGAGTAGTAAAGAGCACAACTATGTGCCATTGAAGTCTTCTTTTAACCCTTTCGCTGCCAAGCCCTCCGGAACATTTTTCAAATCAGCTGGCCAAGCCATTTTTGAATTTTCTGCAATTTTTTCCTATTGATTTGATTTTCAACTGCTGCGTTGCTAGCGTTTGTAAAAGACCCCCCAAACCATATATTTTCTGAAAGCGCAGGCCCGGTAGAATAAAAAGATGGTGATACTAAATTTGTAGGCCCTCATTTTTTTATTTAATTTATTTTTTACATTTTTATTTTTTTTTTACATTTTCTATTTATTTTTTTATAATTTTTTATTTTTATTTTTTTACTGTTGGGAGGGCTGCGGCGAAATATCTGGGGTCTAAATAGACCCCTGACATTTCCCTTTTGAAATAGAAAAAGAAATTGAGGACATAAGTCCTCAATTTCTTTTTCTGCAGCCCCAGCACTCAATGAATGAGAAGCCTCAGTACAGATTATGCATATTTTGAAACTTCTCAATAAAAATGACTGAAAAGCAAATAATGATAATTATGAAAAAGCAAAATACTGCATGTGTTATACTTTTGAGAATTAATTTAGAAGTACTTATGCACTTATGTGTGGGTAAACAGTACAATTTTGGTTCAGTGTTACTTTTCCTCTGGGTCTGTTCTGAAAAATATACAGGTATAGACAAAGTCAGTCTCCTGGTTCAATTCTTAGTAGTTTGTGACAGATACTATATAAAACAGACAATAATAAATATAGTTTTTCCTAAAGTTAAAGTGACACAAAACTCAGGAATTAAATCTTACAAATGCATTCATGTACCCTAACTATTAATAAAAATGTATCTTATTTATGCATCATTCAGCAGTAGACCCTCAAATCATCTCTGAATTGATACTTATTCCTTCTGAAGGGTGGCTACTTTTGTTCCCCATGGTCCCTGTGTGTGTTGTGTTGTAAAGTAACCACCACTCCAAGCTCACTCCTGTGATGGACTACAATCTCAGGTTTAGTTTACTAATTTGTATTGAGACTGTGTAATCACACGAGTGAGCTTTACAACACAGACAGGGACCATGGGGAACAAAAGTAGTCACCCTCCAGAAGGAAGGACAGTGTCAGCACCAATTCAGAGATGATTTGAGGATCTGCAGCCAAGTGATACACAAATAAGCTACATTTTTGTTAATAGTTAAGAGATTAGATTAAGATGTAACTCCTGAGTTTAGTATCACTTTAAGTAGTATCACATGTGCACATCACATACATAGCTGCGAGAAAAAGGTCTGCCTCACAAATTTCCCTTTCCACACTGCACACACTAGCCTAGGTTATTATAACAGAACTACTAGTGCAATCAGTAGTGATTTATTGTATTGTCCACTTACCCAAAGTGTATCTAATCCTCTCTCCTGAAGCGTCATTATACTTTGTTCAGACACAGCTGGTGAAGTCACATCAGCCCTAGTCCGCTGCCAATCATACAATCCTTCAGTTTGCTCTCCTTTGCTTTTCTTCCTCTTGATAATCTACATGAGTTAAGTTGGCAGTACATTTAATAGAAATAGTGCATGTTCTAAAGAATTTGATAATGGGGAGGCAAAGTAATATAAGTAATAACATATTACAACAGTGACCTTTACATTTCTAATCAGTTACATGTACAGCTCCAAGCTACATAAGCATTAACCACTTTTACCAGATTTTAAGCAAGGGTGCATGCTACAGTATAGAGATTGGAATAAATGTAATGTCTACAAAGTAATAATTTCTTCCAGAAAGTCATAGTACCATTGGTGCCCTAGTCTAAACTGCAAACAGTAAAAAGAGGGTGTTTTTGTTTTTTTGTAGCTCAGCATACCTTGGATCCTTAGAAACACCCAATAAGGTAATGAACATTTTAAAAAAACTGACAGGATATGGATAGGGAAACTGCTGGAAGTGATGACAGTACAATATCATTGTGGGTTTACGTTCTTTTGGTTTCTTCTGCCCCCAATCACCATATCATCACCAAAAATGTACTTCAAAGGAAGCCTGTACTGTAAGAAATATGTAGACTGTTGCTGCTCAATTCTACTTTTTATAATGCTAGCTACCTAGCTATGATGCTGCTCCAATGTTGTCAATGATTTCTGAGTCTTTGACTCAGAACAAATATGCAGACTGGAGGTTCAGACTCTTTGGGGGTTATTCATAAAAGGGTAAAGAATTTGGAGAAGGCAGGAGAAGTGAACAATCTAGCACAACAGCTGAACTGGAAAGTGAGCTGAATTGGAGAATTTTTCCAAATCAGCTATTTAGTCCTAGAATGTTCACTTCTCCTGCCTTCTCCAAACCCTTCACCCTTTTGTGAATAACCCCCTTTGAGTGGTTGATTAAAGTAGGATATACACGGGTAGATTTTCGCACGAACGTTCCTATGAAAAATCTTGTCGGAACGAACGATAATATCATCATAGGCATGGTGACTGTTGCTTGAAATTTTGTTTGATTTTTATTTTTCTTTAACATTTGGATTTGGAGTGAATGGAGTTTTACGAAAGAAAACCACTTACACTGTTAGAATTTTGTTCGAAAAATTTTCCAACATGCTCCTTCAAATTTTTTCCTCACTGTGGTCAAAAGCAATCATCGATTTCACTGCATCAAAGATTAGAATGTCGAACGAACATTCCAAAATCGATTCTATGGGGGTGATTTACTAACCTAAACACACGCACGCACCAGGTGCGTGTGATTTTTACACAGCAAAGCGTATTTATCAACCAAAAAGTCTCTATAAGCATGTTTCCACTAATGCCATATATGGAAAAATCATACACATGATGCATATATAATGCTGCTTCACAGTTTAGACAAAAATGGTTAGCTCATGCATTTACATTCCTGCATTCATCAACGCAAGCAACACAATGTAGAGCTAATTTACACAACATCACCTTGCAATTCAGGGCAGGGCTTTGCACAACACACCTGCTGGGTGTGTACACACTACAAAGATGTTTAGATTCCACCCATAGATCATGCTGGGAGGGAACACACTACAGAGGTGTATACATGTTCGTGGTGTGTTTATAAGGTTAGTAAATCAACCCCTATGTGTTCAAAATTTGAACCGTGTATCCCCAGCTTTACTAAAGCAAAATAGACTGTTCACTTTGCAACGGAATTTGCACTTTGTGAAGGAATTTTCCCTTAGCTTAGTGAATTAGGTGAAGCTCTACTGACTTTTATCATCCAACCATGTACAAGCAACAATAATGTTTTTTTTTTTAATTGTCCTTGCATGTGATTGGGTTTTCTTTGCAAAGTGAATTTTAACCGCATTCACTGAGCTAAGGGAAAATTCCCTTCCAAACTGAACAGCCTATTTGCCTTTGGTAAATCAGCCCAAGTGAGTCAGAGACAGTCAGGTAACTATTATTTTTAGAAGAAAGTCAGCAATAGCAACCCTTAAAACCAGTGATTCCAAATGCACACTTTGCTACTGGACTTTTCCCCTCTGTAAATAAAAAATAAACCCTTTGTTTTTTAGATGTGTTAAGAAATTATGACATTGTAAAACCTCCAGTTTTAAGACAGCAATGTTGTAGCTCAAAGAAAACAAAATTTCCTTATCTGATTGAAAATTTAAACACAGGGTTCTCACCCTTCAGTAATACCCATTTCGCTCATCACCTCCGAAATGTGGCCCTGGACTCTTAAAATTAGATAACAGCACTCACCTTCTGAACAATGGTTGTAGCTAACTCCTCGATCAGTTCTTCTTTGTGTTCCCGCAAATAACAAGCCTCATTCTGTTTATCCTAAGGAAAATAAATATGTTTTAGAATAAGTCACTATTGTGTTAAATCCGGTACATAATACTAGATTAACCCACATTCTTCTGCAGGGTTTTGCAAGTCCGTAACACAGTTCCTAGAAAGCAATTGCAGTGTATAATCTGCTAGTAGCAAATAATGCATAGGAGTTAAAACTAGTAAAACCACAACAGTACACTGTCTGCCTATTCATTACAAAGCAGTTAGTTTTTATATGTTTAAGTCTTTCACATGAAGTGGGAAATGTATCCAAATAGTATTTCAAAAAAGATGTAGAACATATCTAGTGTGTTACTTATTGATGGTTAGATCAAAGTTGTTGTTTTTAATAATGGATTGATATAATCCATTAAATTCTATCAGTCATTGTTTCACCTATTTTCTGGTTACCAAAGGGCCAAATTGAGGTATAAAATTGATTTACAATGCTTTTTGTGTTGAAATATAAAAAAAAAACCCAAAACGATTTGGTGAGATGATGCGCCTGAGTCAACAGTAATAATCAGCCCAAGGAGGACATCAACTTCTGAAAAGGTATTTTTTATTCACCACCAAGTAATGGTTTTGATGACTAGTGTGGTGTGACATAAACTTTATAATGAATAGGTAAGCTACATAACAAACAGAAGGAAGAGGGAATCAATGAAACACAATATAATATTACACCTTGACACAAATATTATACAGGAAATTTCAGATATAGTCAAGTATCTAGAGTCGCAGTCCCCAAACTTTCAGAAGGTCTAGGTTTCAAAGATCTACCTGATAATATTAGTACCAGAACTTGTAACAGAAGAGGAGCAGATAAAGTCACAATATGGAATGTTAGCATTATTTTAGTCATGCACACCCTCGTATTTGTACTATAATCTAGGTGGTCTCTTTAGATGAGTGTGGGTATGCAGTACATGGAGAGGTATAAAGTGGACAATAATGTAATATGAAGTTGTTTAGGATTGTATTCAGACTCACAAAATAAATAGGTTTTTTTGTTTTTAACAGAGAAAGGACAGATCACTTTTAGTAAAAGGCTAGATAAAGTAAGAAGTGCAATGAATGGCAAACATGTAGAGGGAAAAATTGTTAGTGTCATTAGCACAATATTAATGAAGAAGTTACACATCCAGTCTGCTCCTGGGATTTTCAACTACAGATTTAAGAGTCAGATGGGCAAAGGCCAGGGGTAGAAGAGCAGTAGTGGAATTACTTGCTAGCTGGCTAGAGGGCAAGAAAGGAGGCAAACAGTTGTGTGGAAGCCAGCTTTCAGCTTGGCGTGTGGTACAGCAGTCTGCTATGTGAAATTAAGCAGTCCTTCAGCCGGGAATCTGTGAGGTTCAGGCAACTGTAATCTTCTTTTGTTTGGATCTGTTCCCCTTACTTGTTATGCTTTATATATAACCAACAAAGAGTGTTCCCACATATAACTACTTTGTTAGGGTTTAAAGCTCACAGCACTCCCCCTCTAATGACAACTACACTTAAACTGTTTACCTGGAAAGCCTGGGGTCTCAATTACCAAAATCATAAGATCATTAGTATTCAACCAAATTAAAAGCTTTGCCCGTGAGTTATACTGAAGTGAAAACAGAACCCCAAGGTTATATTTTTTTTAGTATTTGAGTACTCGGGACAAATCTTTACAACTGGTCTCATCTGAAGTATGTGGTCCAGTTTTGGTCACCAATCCACAGAAAATATGCCCTTGACCTGGAGAGAGTCCAGAGAAGGGCAGCTAAACTAATTAAGGAGCTAGAGGACCAAAGCTATGAGACAAGGTTACTAAATTTAAACTTGTTACGCTAAACGTGAGGAGATTAAGAGGGGACATGATTTTGATGTACAAAATGTTTAGTAGTGATGGCAACATCAGCAATAAACTTTTTACAGTAAACTCCGTAACAAAGACTAGAGGCCACCACCGAAAATTGGTGGAGAAAAGACTTAAACACAAGGCTCGTAGGGGCTTTTTTTAAAAATTAGAGCAGTTCAAGTCTGGAACTCGCTGCCACAAGCAGTGGTATCAGCTGAGAGTAGTGAATCATTCAAAAAGCATTTAGACACCTTCCTCAGAGAACTTAACATACAGGGGTACAGGTACTCTTAAAAACTATACCACACAGGGACTTGTGTACACACATACACACATGCACAATCACACACAGACACACAAAGGTTGAACTTGATGGACCTGTGTCTTTATTCAACCTCAAATACTATGTAACTATGATAATGTGAATATTCTTGCTCTTTTTGATATAGCTAGATTTGGCACTTGCATGCAAAAGCTTTTTGGTATTGCTTAATGCCCAATCCTTCTGGTGGAAGATTTTAATACTGTACTGAATACTCAAATGGACAGGCTTGGGAGTGTGAGAGCCTACCCCTCTGTGTTACAAGATTGGTTACAGAGATATAACTTAATTTGTATATGGCTCAAGAGCATATTTCGTTAAAAGTGACTATTTGTGAAATTCAGAATCCTATAACATGCTGTCTAGATTGGACAGATACTATGCTACATCGGAGGCATGCTCTAATGCCTCTAGTATTACATATTTACTGAGGACTCTCTCTAATCACTTTTCTCTGGAATTTATTCTGACCTTGGCATTCCCTTGAGACCTATGGAGAATAGACCCTTATTGGCTAAATGTCCCCATGGTACAGTATGGATGTGCTGATGATATCAATCATTTTTGGCCCGTAAATGATATCTCAGGAAGTACCCACTGGGAGTCCTGCAAGGCTACACTGCAGGGCTCTTTCATGTCAGCAGTATGTGCACTTAGGAAAGCTAATGGCGAACAATTAATTTATTGTAACAGGCTAGTTAAGAGGCAAGAACCTATACACAAGATCTATACTCTGATAATTATCATAAATGGAAAGTTAATCGAATGTCATATGACCTGGTCCTGGCGGAGGCAACACAGAAAATACTTTTATACCAGGCACAACATATTTTTGAACCTGGCTACAAAAATGGTCACTTTCTTGCCTTCCTTTACTATACTTAATATTCCATCCACACTTTACAAGATACCAATGAAGGTATTATTTAGGCTTTCTGTACTTCCATAGTAGGCTTTATGAAACACAAATTCAATATGACCCTTCGACCTGGTAGACTAAATCACCTTTCTTAAATGAGGCTTCCTCTCTTTTCAGCAAACATAATTTTTAGACTTTCCCATCACTGCAGAAGAGAATAGGTATACCCTTACCCACTTTTCTAAATACAAAACCCCGGGGTTAGACAGATATCCTATAGAATGGTATGTCATGTATAAGGATCGATTTATCCCATGTTTATGAGATAGTTCTCCTGCCCTCAGTGATGGAAGCATTAATTGTAATGATCGCCAAGCCTAACTATGATCTTTTATACTGCGAGTCCTTTAGACATATTTCATTAATTAATATGGATGTTAAAATCCAGGCTTGAGTCTTTACATGCAGATTAAACTCTGTTATCCCCAACAGTGTTTATTCTGGGTAGATCTATAAATATTAATATTCGTAGACTTTTTACCAACCTTAAAATCCCACATTTTTCCATTTCTACTAGAGCCATTCTGCCTTAAGATACCCACACACCCTTTGATTTAATAGAATGGCCCACTTTAGTATCTAATACAAATTTGGTATTGGAGCCCACTGACCGGATTAAAGTAAATAATCTTATTTTGAACCCTTTCCTTATAAAGTGGGGAACAAGGCAGGGATGCCCCCATTCCTTTTGTCCTGGCCATCAAGCCTCTTGCATAAATTATCAGACAAACCCTATTGATTATGGGAGTGCAGGTAGGCACTTTGAAAGAGAGAGTAGCTCTATACATGAACAATATCCTAGTATATTTATCAAACGCGCATCAGGCGATAGACAAAATGCTAAATATAGTCCATGCATTTGGTACCTATTCTGACTTTCAAGTCACTAGGAAAAAATTTACTTCTTTTTTATTGGATGCATCATTTGATCTGGGTTTGAGTACTAACTTCCCTTTGAAAATTAATGATACATTTAAATGTTTTGGAGTGCAGATTAAAAATACGAGCTGGGTACTAAGTGCTGAAGAGTCAATATACATGTCTGAGGACTGAGCCCTGAGAAGATAACGCACATGGGCTGAAGAATGAGCGTTGAGTGCTTATTGCATATGCTGGGTATGTGACACTGAGGGATTAAAACAATTGAGCTGGGGACTGGGTGTTAAGGGTAATGTTTGTATGCTGCGGACAGAATAGTAGGAGGTTAATGCACACACACTGGGTATTTATCACTGAGGGGGTTGATCGCATACAAGGCAGAGGATTCATATTTTAAAGCTGGGGTAGGTGATTGAGGGGTTAATAGTCATACTGTGGTGGCATAAACACTGCAGACTGGTCACTAATTTGCTAACACCAATTCTATGCTGAAGGGTAGAGACCAACATGTGTTCTGGCACACACATAGACACACACTGTAATCATGGGCTACACAATGTGTGTGTGTGCTGGGTGTGGAATCATACAGGGGAAAGACAATTGTATGTGTGTTGGAGTTGGGATTTAAGTAGGAAAACACCAATAGGTGTGCTGGAGGTGGGATTTTACTGGGGAAAGCAAATTTATGACATGAAAAAGGAGGAGAACTTCCAGCACAATGTATTTAGGCAATTAACTCACCACTGCTATGCCCCAAGCTATGCAGATCATTAAGAATTTTTATTGCAAAAATGATTGGTTCAACCCATTATTTTTTCACAATTACTTTTTCTATTATACTGGCCTTTCAAAATAGTGAACAAGATAATTAGGAGTAAAGTTAAAGGTTTTAGTGCAGAATAACCCTTTTAGAAGTTAAACAGTATGTTCTTTTTTTTTATACCTGTTTAGATATCTGTACATCTGACGAAAAAGAGGGAAATGAAGGACAGTTAGGAGGTGTGGGAAAGATCAATATGTGTGCCGATGATGTGATGTCACTGGGTGATTTGACA